AGAAACAACCAGACTGTAGGGCTTGAGAACAGGATTCAGACAGATCTCTGGTTTTCTGGGGGTTTGTTCTTGGAGCCATCCATCCATCCATCCATCCATCCATCCATCCATCCATCCATCCTGCTTACTGGTGGTTATTTCATTTTGACATTAAGATCGGTTAAAAATGAAGGCTGGTGACATAGCTCAGTCAGCGGAATGCTTAGTGTACAAGAGGGATAAGGACCTGAGTTCAATGCCCAAACGCACATAAAGAAACAAGCATGGTGGCATGCGCTTGTGATTCCAGAGCTGGGAGATAGAGACAGGCACCTGTGTCCCCAGAGCTCAGTGGCCCAAGGAGAGTCACTACCTCACAAAAACAAGGGAGATTGTTTTTAAGAAATGAAACCCGAGGTTGACCTCTGACCTCTGACTCATGCACACACGCACACACACACACAAGTTAGTTAAAATTGTACTCATCTGACATCTGATCACTTTGAATCATGCACTGTGGTCCTTGGGAGTACAGCCCTTAGATTCATCTCCAGAACATTTGTATTTATCATGTTACATCAACTTAGGCTTCCAGCTCTGAGTAGTAGACTCTGGAAAGCCAATGACAAGTGACTCAGTCCATGGCATCTTTTTGTCAGAGATCCTGATGTCCTATCTGTGGACTCTGGAAAGCCAATGACAAGTGACTCAGTCCATGGCATCTTTTTGTCAGAGATCCTGATGTCCTATCTGTGGCTTTCCCTGTCCAGGTTGGGCATTCTGGGGTCCTGGGGTATCTTGCTTACTTCAGGGCAAAAGGGAGAAGAGTGTGGAATGAGCATTTCTTTCTGCCTTTTGAACACGAGCACAGAACCAGGGGCTCAGAAGAGAGAAGTGCTCCCTACATCCCCAGCTTCACGGGTCCTTTGTTTTTTACCAACGTGAATCAAGCAGATACTCAAAGACAGATTATGTCAGACCAAGGTCTCTGGCTTAGGGATTGAAACACAGTTTAAATATAGGTAATGGACAATGGTAGAGGATTGTGCAAAGGATGGATTCTCCCCCCACCCACCCCAACCACAGATAGCAAAGTCCAGGAGACTCAAGTCCCCCATGCTAAGTGGCTACATAATTGCATATCAATTGCACAAAGACTTCTCTATGTGCTGAGTCATCTCCAGCTTCTAATGTATGTACAGTATATGTACATTGTATTATTCAGGCAATGATGATGAAAGTCCGTATATGTTCGGTACAGATGCACCTTTTCCCTGAACATTTTTTACCTGCAATTGATTGACTCTATTGATGCAGAACTTGTAGTTACAGAGGGCTGATTATAGGGGAAACAGAGAAGCAGTAGAAGGCTGGAGGCTTCTTGGAAGGTGTGGTGTGGCACCTGCCCTGATGACCTTTGAAAGTCTGCAAGGAGATATGGCGGGGTCAAGACCAAAGGAGCATGCTTGGGACGGTTTAGTGTGATAAGGGCTGTGCCTAGTACAATGTGGTTGGAAGGAGAGTGCCCACAACAGGACTGAAGAGCAGGAGAAAGCCTGGCATACCCAGATCTGCTCCTGCAGGAGGTGGAAAGCCAAGCGTAGCATTGAAGTCCTGTGTCATCAAATCACCCTGGTGCATGAATTTGAGTGAGGACACCAGTTAAAAGTCACACAGATCCAAATAGGGCAGAGGAGGAAGGAGACCACGTCAGGATGTAAAACTGACTTTCTGGTGGATCGACAAGGCCAGGGGAAGAAGAGGGAGTCCTCTGGGAAGTATGCCTCCAGGAGACGGCAGTTAAGGTGTGCATCCGTCATCCCAGCACTTGAGACATGGAGACAGGATGAGCAGAGGCTTGTGGTTATTTTTTGATGATATAGCAAGTCTGGGGCCAGCCTGGATTACATGAAACCCTGACTCAGAAAAACAAAAACAAACAAACAAACAAACAAAAACACAGGGCTGGTAAGGTGGCTCAGCAGGTTTATCCCTGGTGACCTGTATCCCACCCTTGGAACCCTTGTCAAAGTAGGAGGGAGGCTGGGATGGTGGCACATGCAGAGGCAGACGGATCTCTGTGAGTTCGAGGCCAGCCTGATCTACAAAGTGAGTTTCAGGACAGCTAGGACTACACAAAGGAAGCCTGTCTCAAATAATCAAAAAAAAAAAAAAAAAAAGTAGGAGAGAGCTGACTCTATAGAGCTATTCTCTGCCCTCCGCATGCATCCTATAACTTATATACTCCCTTCATGTCACTCACACACACACACACACACAATGATGATAATAAGTATATAGTTTTTTAAAATAGACACATTTCCCAGGGTTCCTCCTTGGTTCTCGGGTAGCTTGTATGGCTGAGAATCTGGCAGAGCGGAGATGATGTGAAACATTGCCAGCCCTCTAACGTGTGCACGCTTTATCCCAGAGAGGGTAGAGCAGTGTGGTCTAGGCATATGGGTCCTGAAGATGACTGCTTGGGTTCTAAACACAACTACACTACGGAGCCTCTGTTTCTCCTTTTGTCACATGAAGATCAAAAGCAAGGGTCAAAAGAATTAAGACAGTGACCCAGAACTACTGACATCCCCATGAGGTGTCAGCTGCTGGTATTGTCATTACTGATGTCATCAGAGCAACACTTGATGCCCACACCGCTCTAGGCTTTGGTTTCATGCCTCTTTCTCAGCTCTGAAGGCTGTGAGGAAAAGCTTGGACTAGTGCAAACTGCTAGGACAGCTGAGGCGTCAAGCTTGCACTGTGCACTTGGATGGCTTCTAGAGACCCAACAAAGCTTTCTCTGGGTGGATTAGCTAAGAGCTCTCACCTCCTTCCCTGACTAGCTTCTGCTGTCCCTAGTAAGAGATTAAGGGGCCACCTGGAGAATTTAGATAAAATTGGCGATGTCCAAACCTTGACCACCTTCCTGGTCAGGTGATGGTTATGGCTCGCACCCCTTCCTCCACCTAGCTGCTGTTGCACCGGTATCTGCTGAGCAGGCTGCTGCTTCAAAACCACCTCTTTGTGTGGTTTATTTGCCAGCATTGCTCTTGCTTAATGGTGGGGACTGAAGTACAGCTCTCATTAACTTTTATCCTCCCCATAAATGCCCTGCTTAACTCACAATGGCAATTGTTCCGCTCTGTTCCCAGGGGTTTCTCTGCAGCCTGGCTCCGGGCCAACCTATCTTCTCTGCCTCCGGCCCCACCAAATCCTGTAGCTCACAAGCCTGCCTGCCGTGCCTGTGTGGAGGGAAGGAAACTGGCTTTTACATTCTTGCTGCTTTTTTCACTTCGGCAAGCAAAACCCCCAAGCCTTAGCTCCAAACCTAGAAAAAGTGAAGCAGAGGGAGCTGAGACTGGGGTGGGGGGTGTGTGGCTCGGGTGTCTGTGCTGGAGAATATGGAGAAGGGCCACGGCCACAGTGACAACTGGTCTGGAACTGCCAACAGGGAACCTGGAATGTACTGGCCTTGACAGCAAACTATGGAAGGGTCACTGGAGGTCTTGAGTGTGGGTGCCATCTGGAAGAAGTAGCCCAGGAAAGCTATTGTAGCCTTAAGCCAACTGTGCTTGGAAGTGGGGGATGTGTGGATGTAGATGACGGACCTAGCTGGGAAGACACATTGCTCTGAGGGAATCCTCTCTCTGCCCCAAATCATCAGGTGAGCATCCTTGAGAAACTGTCCCAGCATCTGGATTCTGATTGGCTCCTCTGCTTCACTGTCCCTGGCTCTGGAGGACAAAATCCCGTTGCATTGCTAGTTGAATACCTTTCCTGGCTCCCAGATTCACTAAGTCCCCCCAGGCCACACTGTTTTCTCCTCCTCATACCTTTCTTTGCCCATAGCCACCTCTTACCCTCACAGGCATACTGGCCTCTGGCCCTGACTCTGCCATGTGTTCCCTATGTCTGGAGCATCTAACTAGCCTTTGGCTAGCTGATTCTTTATGAGGCTCAGTTCAGAAGTCAGTTTCTCCCAGTGACCTCCTGACCAAGTCACCGCTAAGCTGAAGGCAGGGATAGGACAGGTGTGGCACACACATGGCCAGACACCTGGTACATGTCAGACTGCGGGCATGTAAGTATTGACTTGAATTCAAGACTGAGGTCATGACTGAAGAGGCATCTGTGCTAGGGGACCATCCTAGGCAAGGTAAGGGGACATTTGTCTCTGCTGCCATAGAGAATGGATCATGGAAGGGCCAGAAATAGTGACTCTCTTCCTGGAAAGCAGCCAACAGACTGACAGAGGCAGGACTTCAGGTTCCCAGGAGGCCGGGGCCGAGGACATGGGCATCAGGTGTGACTGATGAGCCCAGAGCTCTGAGGCCTCATCCAAGCCTGTGAGCTAGTGGTTCTTCACCAGAGGAAGTGTTAGCACCAGGGCTGCAGCTGATAACTGTGTTTATTTGGCACTCTCGACCACAGGTGTGGGAGGGAGGGGACGGGCATTGAATATCAGGTTTGAATTGGGTTTCTATCTGGCTGGCATTGCTGCTCCAGCCCCAGGTGTATTCCGTGAGCAGATCTGAGCTCTCACACCCCTGCCTGCCTGGCTACCAGAAGGTGCTGGTGACTTGGCAGGTGCATGCCCTCCCAGATGCTTCCCCACCCCCCCCCACACACACACACACACCTCCTTTCTCTCCTGGAGAATTCTGTGGCTCTAACAAATTACTTGCCCTCTCTGAGCCTTGTTGTGTGTGACAGGCTTACAGTTGCGCCTGCTTTTTTTTTTTTTTTCTTTTTCATTAAGAATCGAACCCAGGGCTTTGCGCATGCCAGGCAAGCACTTCACCACTAAACTATATCCCCAGCTGTGGGAGCCCCTGCTTCTTAAGGCATTTTGAAGGCTTATGTGAAAAATTGGAAGGCGCTTAGCTAAGGGCTTTTCAGGGTTTAGTGCTCAACTGCAAGCTGCTCTTGTTAGTCCATTAACAGTGGGGCTGAAGGAAAAGCAGTCATTGTTCAGGGCCTCCTCACAGTCAGGCAAACTGCTCATTTGGACAGTCGCAATGTCGTGGCCATACGAGAGCAGGGAGGGCTCCATGGCAGTCCTGAGGAGAAGGGAGAAGGCCGGCAAACCGGGCTCTCTATTAGAACAGCTGCTGTCTGGTCACCTGGTTGTAATAGCAGGTGACATGCTGTGTGCCAAGTTCCGTGACCTTTCAGAACCGTATTGTGTCACCTTCAAAAATCCCTCTGAGGTTACCCCTGTTTAGGATCCCTTTTCACAGGTGGGGAAAATGAGGCACAGGGAGGTTAATTAGGGCCTACGTCACACAGCTGCTGGATGACAGCATCACCAAGACAACAACTCCCAGAGAGTGGTGAAGCCACCACCTCTGTGTTGTTCAGCCATGGTAGAGCCGCTAACATCTCCATCTCCCTGGATGGAGTGCTGTGTTGAGATGGATTCAGACTAAGTGAATAGCACTGCGATTGGTTAGCAATGTCTACCGTGGGGGTGGTCACTTAACTTGCTGCAGGCCGCTGACTCATCATCAGCAAAGACACTTTTGACATTTAGGATTAAGCTGGAGTTTGTTGGAGTGGGAGGGCAGTGTCTCAGAAAATGTTTAGCAGTGGCACTGTCCTTGCCCGATAGCTATCAGGGACACTGGCGAGGTAGATCTTGTGTTGGGAGCCTTAGACAGAGCTGGCAGCAGTGGGTAAGCAAAAAAATGATGAATTTAGGAGTCTGGAGATTAGTGATCTAGGCTTGGCTGGTCTACCAGCTAGCCTGCCACCATGGAAATGGCCTTTCACCTCTCCAGGCCTCAGGTTCCTAATGTGTGAAGTGATCAAGATGAAGTAGCCAGTCCCCAGGGTGCCTTTGAGAAGTTTCTGTATCTCCACTTTGATTCTCCCTCCCCCACACAGGCCTTCCAATTAAAACTCAGGTTATTGGAGTATTAACTTTCCAGAGATCTGCAGAAGCAATGCTATGGAAAAGTCTGGAATCTGCAGAGAGCTGTTTTGCCCCCTTTGAACACCATATTTGTTCCTCATTAAAAAAGAAAGGAGGAGGCAAAGAGGAAAGGAAAAAAAAAAAAAAAAAAAAAGCCCAGCCCTCAATACCAAGCTTTCATCCAGGCTGTAGTTACGGAGCAGATACAAGTAGAGAAATCACAGAGAACACCATTCCCCGGTGCTGCGGGAGAAGACGACTATTGGTTGGGGAATCGCTCTGGCTCTGTTCAATTATGAATCTCGGCAGGAAGCCTGGAAAATCCCGGCAGTTCTGCTGCATGGCACTGGAGGAGGTGAGCCTGGAGCTGCGCCGCCCTCCAAGGACTCTCAGAGCTCAGAAGGGATGGAGAAAGCCTGAGGCCCAGGGTCGTGAGATGGGCAGTGAGCTGCAGGCCGAGTCACCTCTGAGGCCCCTAGTTTTAATTGTCACCTTGGCACGATCTAGAATCAGCTGGGAAGTCTCAATGAGGAGTTATCTAAGTTAGATGGCCTGTAAGGATTTCGTTAATCGGGTTAATTGAAGTGGGAAAACCCACCCTGCATGGGGGAGGTACCATTTTGTGGGCTGGACCCTGGACCGAATGAGGAGAGAGAGCCAGCTGAACACTGGCCAGCAGGCATGCATTCATTACAGTCTGCTCCTGACTGTAGGTGTCATGTGGCCTGTTCTCCCAAGCTCCTGCTGCTGTGACTTCCTAGCAATGACTGGCTGTAACAGGAATTGTGAGCCATACTTTCTCCCCTAAGTTGCTTTTGCCAGTTCCCGTGCAGGTCTCTGTTTCCTGAAAAGGCATCCCTGAGGAAGGAGGCTGCCCGGGCGTTCAATACCAAGCTTTCATCCAGGCTGTAGTTACGGAGCAGATACAAGTAGAGAAATCACAGAGAACACCATTCCCCGGTGCTGGGGGAGAAGACGACTGTTGGAGGTTGTGAGCAAGCAGAAAGGCTTCTTTGTCTGGTTTTTTAGTCAATGATAGAAGAGAGCCTGCCATTTGTGGGGCCTTCTCCCTCTTGGTGTTATATCATCTCATTTCTTCTATGGCAACTCCATGGGGTTCGTGATACCTCTATTTCAGAGATGGTCCCTCAGGTGCTTGTGGGAAGATGACTGCCTGGGCTGGTTAACTGCCAGGTGACTGAGACCTAAAGAGACTGGGAGGCACATGTCGCTTCCCCATGATGGCGTGCGATATTGAGGTCTTCTGAACGGTGTCCTTTCTGTCCCCCGAGGTCGGTGATCTCTTGGGAATCTGTGCTTATTTTCACATCTCAGAGCAGATTAACTGTTACACAGTCATCCCTTGCCAACCTGATACCCAAACACATCCTTTTAAGTTCATCATATTCTATCCCTGGTTCCAATAGGTTTACGGTCATAATGCAGAATGGGTTCATTCCAACTTCAAAACACTCCATAACTGCAACACTGTTCAGAAACATAAAATCTCTTTTGAGGTTCAAAGCAATCTCTTCACTCTGAGTCCCTGTAAAATTAATAAACTAGTTACATTCTTTCAACACTTGATGACATGGAGTAAAAATTCCCATTCTAAAGGGAAGGGTTTTGGAGAAGAGCAGGGAAAGATTGAGTCAAAGCAAGACTGATACTGCAGTTCCATGTCCAGCATCTGGAGCTTGTGGTGTCACCGTCTAGGTACAAAGGGCATTGAGTAGCACCACCTCTCATTTCTGTTTCGGGCAGTGCACACAGCCTATCTCTCAGGCTGGCTCTGCCCCACACCTCCGCCTTCCTCCACAGATATCCTTCGGTCCTGGTATCTCCAACACTCTTCCTGGAGTTGCTACTGCAACTGATGCTTCATGCTCACTTCAGAAAGTTGCCCTTTGGGGGCTTCCTTGCAGGAAACTTGACCTCAGTACCTTTCTGGAACATTGATGCAACCTCTATGACACGCTAACGCTTGACTTTTGCATGCCTGCAAGACCAGCCCCATGTGGATGACAACCAGGTTCTGGAGCTAGCTAAAGCTGTAGGCATGGCCCGCCTCTACCTCCACAGCTGGAGTGATCTCTGCCTTGACTGCTGAACCTATGAAATCACCCCTCCAGGCTGTTTTGCATCAGGGAACCTCTTTAGTGGCAGTCTCAATTCGGGTTCTCTTCTTTTGAATGGATTAGTTTTTTCCCCCAGTTTGCTGTGATCTTCCTTCCTCCCTGTCCTTAGTGCTGAGATTATATATTCATTCCACCATACCAGGCTAGCCCAGCACCTCTTAACGTCACCACATAGGACACAAAACTCCCAACACATGACCATGGAAGTCAAACCCCAGAAGATGCCTTCTTCCCAGACCCAAGTCCCTGGAGCCCCTTCTCTGTTGTGTTTGCAAACAATGCAGTTTGTGGTCCAACACGTCTCGCGGCGGTGCTCTCTTACAACCGACAGTCTGTGAGGAGAGAGATGGGCTGGAGCACCCCCACCTACCCATCCTCATGCCTCCCTATTCTCTCCCTGCCCCTCGATCTGACAGCAGCCAGCAAGAGGCGGCCCAAAGGCCTTGGGCAGCTGTGGGAAGCTGCTGACTCAGAGCCAGGGTGAAATGTGTCCTTACAAGGGGTTCCAATGTGAGAAGACAAGATGAAGAGAGAGCTTGTTAGTCCTGGGCAAGCACAGCCTGCCATCTCCCAGGCAGCTGAGCTCCTCTGGGACTAGAGGCAGACACCCAAGAGCCCTAGGGTAGGGCAAACCTAACAGGCCAAATGATACGCAGGCGGGCTGGGAATAGCATCAGAGACATCCAGCGCCTCCAGAGAGTAGCACTCCCCATGTGAGTCATGAGGGGCTTTTCTAGCTGCCAGTCACTCTAGTCTCACAATATGATCTCACCCTCATGGTAGCACCTTGGAGCAGGAAGCATTAAATGCAGCCCCCTTTGTAGGGAACCTCAGGCTGCCTTTGTAACTGAGTCTTGCCTACATTTTAAGGCCTCAGTCCCTCACCTTTAAGCCCAAATCTCTGGGTCTTCTGAGCCTTCTTTCTGGGCGGCCATTTGCCCAGCACTGCCTAGGGGATTCACCCCTGCAACTTCCCCATACACCCAGGTCCAGCACTGCACTTCTTTGAACCCTCCTGAACCTGCCCCTCCCTCATCTCACTGTTTTGGGTAGGCTGTCCGCTCACCTCCCTGTCCGAGGTATCTGTCCTCCCAGACAGGTTCTGTGTCTTTTCACTCCTATGGGGCCTGGCATCAACACAGGAGTGCTGGGTTAAAGAAAAGAATGGGTGAAGGGTCAAATGGGTGAGCCACATGGTGGTAGTTTGAATGTAATTGACCCCTATAAGCTCACAGGGAGTGGCACTATTAGGAGGTGTGGCTTTGTTGGAGTGGGTATAGCCTTGTTAGAGTAAGTGTGTGAGGGTGGGCTTTGAGGTTTCCTATGCTCAACATACCAACCAGTGTCTGAGTCCACTTCCTGTTGCCTTCTGATCAAGATGTAGCCATCACCATGTCTGCCTGCATGCTTCCATGCTTTCTGCCTTGATGATAATGGACTGAACCTCTGAACTCTAAGCCACCACCTCAAATGTTTTCCTTTATAAGAGTTGCTGTGGTCATGGTGTCTCTTCGTAGCAATTGAAACACTAAGACACATATCTAAAAGGAAGTCCCTAACGATCATAGAAGGACAAGGACTTTCTAGGTGCTAAGTTAAGGCTATCAGAGGGAAAGAGAGTGGGCTGGGGATGTAGTTTGTTTGGTAGACAGCTTGCCTACTGTGCACAAAGCCCTGGGTTTGATTCCCAGAATTGCATAAACTGATTGTGGTGGAGCACACCTGTAATCTCGGCACTCAGGAGGTGGACATGGGAGAATCAGAAGTTCAAGGTCATCCTCAGATGACCTTGGGAGTTTTCTGCCAACCTGGACTATATAGAGACCCTGTCTTAAATGTTTTCCTTTAATTTAAAAATCAAACAATAGGGTGATGAATGAAGGTTGGAGCATGCGCCAAAAGATGAACTGTGATCCGGGATGGTAAAGTCTCTTTATTCAAGAAAACACCAGGGCAAAACGCAGGCCAGAGCGAGGTTACAGGAACCCAGCAAGCGTGGCCAGAAAAGGGGCTAGGGGCCCCACGTGCCGCCCTAAAGAAGCTCCCTTACGTCACCCGGCTTTCCTTCACCACGCCCTTATGGGCGAGTCCCGGGTCCACCTGGTACCTGTCCCAGGACTATTGGGCGGGGCTAGGGTGTCTCCCTACAATAGGGTCCAGTAGTGGTGGCACACACCTTTAATCTCAGCACTCAGGAAACAGAGGCAGGTAGATCTCTGTGAGTTTAAGGCCAGCCCAGTCTACAGAGTGAGTTCTAGGACAGGCTCCAAAGATACTCAAAGAAACCCTGTTTCAAAAACAAAATTCAGCAGTGGTGGGAGAGAAGTGTGAGCCTTTCTGTGGGCATTAGTGTTAGCCTTGCTGTTTGGCTGAGGGAACTTTCCAACCTCTGAACCCACATAGCTGTCCATGGAGAGGACATGGACAGCTCTTCACCAAACTCCAGTCAAAAAACAGCCCAGGGCCAAAGGCAACCCTGAGGTGTCAGGAGTTGAAAACTGTCCCCCTCCTCATGGCATTGGGACAAACTGCTTCTCTGAGCTCGGCCCCATAGCCTTGGCCAGGTTCCTTAACCACACGTTCTCTGAGACCCTGGGCTCCTGGAGAGTCCTATCATTCATCACGATTCAGGAACTGTCAATAGAAAAAGCTCCAAAAGGCAGAGGCCATGTACGTCACAATCTCTTGTTGTTGATATTTGCCACAGCAGAAATTCTCTGGGATGTGGAGAGCAGCCAACACAATAGCTGGTCACCTGCTGGAGTTAACAGTCTAAAATGACTGGTCCTGTCAGAGGGCAGCCAGTGTGACTCTGCCATCTTGTCGCTCCTCCTTTGCTTGGGGAAGGAGGTAAATGGGCACACTTCCGGCTCCAAAATCTGTCTCAGGCATTACACTTCTACTCACAGTCCAAAGGAGAACGTTGTCACCTATCCCATGGCTATATCCATGGGAAAAGTTGGAGATCCGTAGTAGCCACATGCCCAGTGAAAGAGAAACAAATACAATGAGAAGAAATTCTGCTACATCTCCAAGACCCTGTCATTTAGAAAATAGCAGGTGCTCGGGAAATATAAATTGCACAAAGAAAGTGAAATCTATGATTATTTAATGGGGTCTTGAAGTGTCTCTGTAGGCCAAGAACCTAGCACGTCCTTGGAGTGCAGCCCAGCCCACCCCGCTTCTCAGAGCCTGGCATTTCTCTGTAGGAACCCAGGGGAAAGTTTCCCAGCAGCCTGCCTCACTGCCACTGGAGAGCAGCCAGCCCCTAGGAGACCAGAACATGCCAATTGGGAAATCACGGTCATTAGGAAGT